AGGAAGGAAGGAAGGAAGGAAGGAAGGAAGGAAGGAAGGAAGGAAGGAAGGAAAAAAGAAAGAAAAGAAAGAAATTCAGGGGAGGTGGAGGAGGAGGTACCATGGAAGCAGCACTTGGCTTGAAGGAAGGCTCAAGTTTGCTAGTCCACTACATTGCCCTGGATAAATCATTTTCCCTCACACACTTCACTCATTCATTCATTCATTCATTCATTCATTGATATGGTATAGATAACCTCTAACCTTCATATCATACTTATGGTCAGAGAAAGAGTAAAGCTGATCAGTCCAAGGATCAAGCACCAAGCTTACACCAATGGCTTAATAAGCATAAATGTCTATCTGACCATATGTGATTATCCTCCTTACCTCCTTGGCCAACACAAACTGCTTGAGCAAAGCATAAAGCCCTGTGCTGGGTGCCAAAGATAAAAATATGCATAAGCCACATGTCCTGGCCCTCAGGAGCTCAAAGCCAAGCCAAAGGGCCCCAACAATTTTCATGTGTTAGGTATGGTTCTGTTAATACATCACAAACCTCTTTATCTTTTGTGAGAAATGATTAAATGATACAGTGCATTGGATATGACAATCTGTTGCTTTAATAGAGCTCAGGGTAAGATAAGATTAAAAGAAGTGCCACAGAGGAGAACAGGAGAATCTTTCATCTCTAGAAAGTAATGAAGACAGACCCCAGATATGAGAAAGGTCTGGCTCTAAGTGGTGCAATCAGATTATATAAGGCTATAATGAGCTTGACACAATTGGATTTCCATAGGCAGCTCTCAACACCTGCCACTCACCCAAGGCAATACAGCCACATGAGCAAACAAGGAGGAACTTTCTTGAGGAGATACAAACATCTAGCCAAGGAGAGGGCTGAAGCAGGATTCCTGGGGAGAACTACTCTAGACCTTGAATGAATTTTTTTTTTTCTCAAAGAGGAGGAAGAGTAATAGGACTGACTTACTGGACTTTCTCTCCCAGATTGTTCCCCTTTTCATTCTCTCCTTTATTGAAAGAAGCAGTTGTCCTCAGATTTGTATCAGGATCTTCCCCACATTTAGAATCCAGGGAAGGGAATGAATTGTCTCTGCAGGGAAATTCTGGCTAATGGGGGACTTTGTCCGAGACATAGTACGTCTGCTGACCACCTGAACACCTGAGCCCATGGCTTTCTTTTAGCAGATGAACCAGGCTGATGGGATGCTTGGGGTTGGGGGAATACTTGGGGAGAATGTGACAAGAAATGGAAATTGCCACAATTTCTCAAGGATTCATCTGCTCAGAATCCATACTGAAGTTATCTCTAGATGTGCCCAGAGGCAGGAGGAGGAAGCCCTCCACTCCAGGATGGGTCTGTGATCCTTGTGGGCTTTTTTCTGCTTCTTGAAGCAAGATCCTGGTGCTGGGTCTAGACCTACAGAGCCTGAAACTCAAGCTGCACTTTTTAAACCAACACGAACCCCTCTTCCCAGTACCAAAGACTCTTTTCTCTTAGTCTCCTCTCTTTGGCTGTGCTGCCGTCATGGTGACGCTGATTATGGTCATTAGGAAGAAGAGCAGCCAGCAGGTGAAGCACGGCCAGCCTCTCCCATTGCCTCTGCAAGCAGGAGAGAAGCTCAGACAGAGGTTCCACGCAGACCCCCTATAGGGGGCCTTCTCTGCTGAAGCTTCCCATGTTGGAGCTGGGGAGATTTCAACAGTCCTAGCTAAAGCCAAAGTGGTATATGGAAATATGTTCCATCCCTCACCTCCACATACTGGGTCACCTCTCATGAGCACCACATGTATTCCCACCAACATACACAACACAGTGCACATATATTGACACATCCAAACATGACTCACTCCCAAAGACAGATATGCAATTGTAAATACATTTATTAACTTTAAGAAGTTTGACTCTCTGGTTACTCAGCACTGGGGATACATCATTAAACCAAAGTAAAACTCCTCCCTCAAAGAGTCTACATTCTAATGGGAGAGAGAAACAGTAGCAAGGTAAATATATAAAACATATTCTTAGGGGCACATGTGCATTGGTGGCTTTTCTTATAACTAATATTTGGATACCTTCTGATGCAGGGAACTGTAGTGGATCCTAGTAGAATCAAGACACTGTCACATACTGTCCTTTAAGGCCCTTGCAATCTAGTTAGGAGATAATACTCAATTGAACAGCATTGTGTGATACTGAGTAAAGGTCATGAAAATTTTGGGAGGAAAAAGAATTTGGATAGATACTATTTCTCTGCCAGGTACACACAGGCTAAAAACCATGAGTGGAAGCTCCTCAGAATTCTTACCATGGCCAAACTTGCTCAAAGTGGGTACAGTGTCTCAGAGCCAGTCCCACAGTCTCTAAGCAGAGAGGCCACTCCTCGTTGTCAGATGTCACCTGCCTCTGGGAAGCCCATTGTTGCTGGCTTTGCCAGCCCCCCTGTTTTTTTTGTATTTGGATCTCCCTCACTATTTCATTATCTCTGCCCATCACAGAAGGCCCGCCTTGCCAGGATCCGTGTGGCCAAAACAGGAAGTTCCAATGCTTACCTGCACAGCAAGCGCAACGGGCTCCTCAATGAGGCTCTGGAACTGGCGGTAAGTGCCTAAAGGACCTGGCTGGGAACCGTAAAGGGAAAGATGAGCTGGTTTTCTCAACAGACACCAGCACTCCTGTCCAAAAGCCCCCCGCCCTCCCGTTTGAGCCCTGAGGAGGACATTTCCAAATTTTCCCTACCCACACACCTTTCCTATGGGATATCACCAGTACCCCTAAACCAGCTGCCGACAAAAGCCCTACCCCCACCCCAAAGGTGAGCATGTCCTATGCTGAACCTAAAATTTGGCTCATCTGGATTTTTCTGGTGTCCTCCCACCTGTGGAGAAGTTAAGTTGCTGGAAAGAGGAGATGTCACCAGCTTCACTTTCAGTTCCTCCTCTTCTCTCTCTAGGGCACCCCAGAAGAGGAGCACGTGGGCAAGACCACATCGCTCATCGAGAGCCAGCACCACCACCTGCTGCACTGCCTGGAAAAGACCACTGTGAGTGCCAGTCCACCCCATCTCCTTTTTCCTCCCTGACCCCTGGCCTTCCCTAGGGCTCTGCTCGAATCCTTATCCAGCACTAGGAGTCAGTCTGTCCCCTTCAGATTCAAAAGACAGTGATGGGGTCTGGCAACTCCCAGGAAAAAGACCTAAGAAATGGGGCAAGGTCATAAGGGTGGGAGATCTGCTCCGTCCTGCAGCATCAGAGAAAAGGCCAGGCCACTAGCCTTCCCAAGCCCTCCACCAGTTCTGTCAGTCCTCTCTTGATGGCTGAGGGCTAAGGACTCAGCCCATCCATTTCTCAGCTCTGATATACGTCACCTTTCAAAATCCAGACCGAATATGCACAGGAAAGTAGAATGTTGATTTTTGTCCCACCCCTGGGGCTAGATTGATGCAATCTGTGGGTTCCTTTGTGCCCTACATTTCTCTTGAAATGGAAGGCAGTGAATGAAAGAGGCATTGTGTATGTTTCTCTAGCCAGCATTTATCAGTTCAAACCCCTGTTGGTCACCCTGCAATTCCTAGGGAGTTCAGATTCTCTGAACTCTGACTGTTAAAGTGGTTATTGTGTAGGGTACCACAGCTGGAATGTGAATGATGCTTGTGCCTCACTAACAGCCTCAAAGAAAGGGCAGTAGGGCTAACCCTGAACCCTTGGCAAAAAGTGCTGAGAATAGTGGGGAGGGAGAAGTCAGAGTAGACAGGCCAAAGGGAAATCCTTCCCTGTTCCTTTCTAGAAAGGTCCTCCCCCAAAAGCCTATAGTCAGGGATCAATACACTAAGGAAGAAACTTCCTAATTCCAACTATTCTGTATCTTGGCCTCCCAGATGTGGCAGGAATAGATGCTAGATGACTCAGTCTGAGCATAACATGGATACTATGAATGGCAGCAGAACCCAGTGAGAACTTCCAAAATGGAAGGTGCTCTGAGACCCTTATTTCAAGGATTTATCACTTATGCATATCTAGAGTTTTTCTCAAAGACTAAACTTGCCAAAGGGATAGGCCCAGACCCAACTGCCCTTTCCAAGTTTGCATGAGCTAGGTGGAATGTGTAAATTGAAAGAACATGGGTGAAAATATTGGGGTTTAAAGGGCTGGAATGATGGTATTGAAAAAATGGGAGTTTGGGAATTGAGGGATGGAATGCTGGCATTGAATGGGTGGAATGCTGAGTTTGAGGGAAAGAATGTTGGACTGTGGGGGTGGGATTCAGGGATTAAAGCTCTGGAATGCTGGATTTTAGGGGAGGAATGTTGGATTTCAGGGCTGGAATGTTGAGATGGAAAAGACAGAATGTTGGGAGGAATGAAGGAAGGAATGTTGGGGAAGTGGGGGGGTGGGTCCTGTTGCAGCCAAGGGGTAGAATGTTTGGACAAGGGAGACAGAATGCTGGAACTAGGGATGGAATGTTGAACTCAAAGGGTGGAATGCTGGGATTAAGAGTTTGAATGTCAAAACTGGCTTGTGAATGCTGGAATGTACAATCAATGGTGTTTTTATCTTCTGTTGGCATGTTGTCCTGTAGGGGTTGTCCTATCTTGTGGATGATCCCCTGTTATCTGTACGAACCTCCACCATCAAGGTATAACTTTTTAAAAATTCAATTGATGTTTTTCTCTCTGATTCTTCTGAGTCTGTAGATTCTCTTCTTTTTACCCCTGGTCTGGTTCCCTGCATGTGCTGTTGATTCTTCTGGGGCTTTTCCTACCTCTGCTGTCACACATGTACCCGTTCAGGCTTCGAGTTTTTTTGTGCTGAACTATCAAACTCCCTTTCTGATTCCCTTTTTTGACCTCCCAAGGGGCTTAGAGGGGGTGGTAGAACATACCACCAATGTTGGCATCCCGTAAGTATCCACGAACAGCCTCTGTCCCAGCCACCTCCCTAGCATCTTGGGGACTTTGGGTATTGGCTGCCAGGGCTGGTCTGTCTCTGAACTCAGTTCTCATGCTAATTCTCCTCAGACTTTCTCCTCACCCTGGTAGCCTCAGTCAGACCATTAACACCATGGATTTTTAGTTACCTTGGCCAAACAGCCATTTTCTAGTTATCTTGGGTTCAGCCCCCTACCACCTTCTTGTCCTAAATTAGGAAGGGGACCGTTAGCATTGCCTCCCCATGCTTACACTTGACCTAGGGATTCCTGTGCTTCCAAAGTATGTTTAGGATCTACATCCCATAATCAGGAGAAAAGGGGGAAAGAAATCAAATCCCTGACAGTTTGACCCAGGCCCTTTTAAGACAAATGCTCTCCCAATTTTGTGAATGACTCAGTGCTTTTAAAAGTTTCTGTGACAATCTTATAATTCATAAGATCCAAAAAAGACGACCCAGCGTACTCTACTCAATGACTCCTTATCTGCCATCTCTGGCAGATCTTACAAAGCTTACAAAGAAAAATCTTTGCTTCTAGCTCTGATGATGCCACTGAGTCTCTCCATGTCCTCTGTTTCCCTTCTGCTTAAAGCTATAGATGGATATATCATGACATAACAACTACAGTCCCCACCCTTCAACCTGATGGTCCAGGCTGCTAATATGAATGCTTTCTTTTCACATTTGATGCCCATATGACCTCACCCAAATGCTTATCAGTGATCTGGGCAGCTGGAAGCCCTTCCTTCAAGGCCCAAAACAGAGACAGGCAGCATTCAGAGTATAGGGTGATGCTCCTGCTCCCTACCTTTTTTTCCCACTTCTTCTCCTTCTGCCTCCCACAGAACCATGAGTTTATTGATGAGCAGATGTTTGAGCAGAACTGCATGGAGAGCTCAATGCAGAACTACCCATCCACAAGAAGTCCCTCACTGTCCAGCCACCCAGGCCTCACAACCACCTGCTGCTCCCGTCGTAATAAGAAGACCACACACCTTCCCAATTCTAACCTGCCAGCAACTCGCCTACGCAGCATGCAAGAGCTCAGTACGATCCACATCCAGGGCAGTGAGCAGCCCTCCCTCACTACCAGGTGGGTGACTTCCCTTCCATGATTCCCAAAGCTTTGCACAATTCCATTCGCAGAATTCAGTAATTTCAGCATTTGGAGAACTTGTGAACCTTCAAGATGTCCCTTTATCTAATGCATGAGCCCGCATCTTCCTTCCACCCCCACCATCTTTCTCATCCTTTGAAGTTAACCCAAAGGCCTTCACAGGCTGTGGGAGGATACAGAGCAGGCCAAAAGTGGGGTTGGATATTAGGGATTTTAAAACTCAAAAACAATCCAAAATGATCCACCTCAGTGCAAAGAAGGAAATTTTATTAAAGAAATAATTTTCACAATTGTGTTTTGCATGGCTTATCCCAGAATGATTTTGAACCACAGATTGACTTTTCCCTCCCTTCTCTGCTTCTATTGAAGCCACGTCCCACTACCTTCAAATAAGTTGCAGAGAATTCAGGGAAAGCAAATGCCAAATGTCACAAATGACAGGTAAATGACCACTGCAGGGCAAGGGGATAGGGTGGGGGAATGTATACTCTGCATTTCTGAGCCCAATTCACATGACTTTGTAATTATTAGTAGTTCAGGAATAATAGTTGAGAGTGGAAAATTACAAGCTGATTGCCCAAGGCAGAGGTAGATGGTCACCAAAATTTTCTCCTAGTTCCTAATAATGAAGAAATGTAGGAGGTCAAGGAAGCTTTGGGCTGCTGACAGGCAGGAACCATCATCAACTCACTCTTTTCTATCCTAGTCGCTCCAGCCTTAATTTGAAAGCAGATGACGGACTGAGACCAAACTGCAAAACATCCCAGATCACCACAGCCATCATCAGCATCCCCACTCCCCCAGCGCTAACCCCAGAGGGGGAAAGTCGGCCACCCCCTGCCAGCCCGGGCCCCAACACGAACATTCCTTCCATAGCCAGCAATGTTGTCAAGGTCTCTGCCTTGTAAAACCACTGGACAGAAAGCCACATGGGGTAGAGGGAGTGAAGGGGGCTGGCATGTTGGTGGGTGGCCAGTGGGACCACTCCCTCCCCCATTCTCCACTATTTCTGCCTGCCCCATTGCACCCCTAGCACTGAGAAGGAAAAAGAGGCAGCAAGGGGCACCCATGGTCCCCACTGCTGACCTGGACATAGCCCTGTGATACTGCATCTCACTGGGGCCAGAGAAAGGGAGGGAGGGGAAGGGTAGGGGACGGGCGGTGGGGGGATAGGCTGCCTGTCAAGGCAGGTCCTGGAAGGGGAGCCTCAGACCAAATGACAATTGTTTCTGGAGTCCCCAGTGAGGAAACTATAAGACCAAGAGCAGCAGAGGCCAAGAGGTCACATGCAAAACAGGAAGAAAATATAACACTGTGTATTTAAGCACCTTTTTCAAGGCTCTTAATGGATAATATTTATTCATGGGAAAAGGTGGAAAACAAAAACACCAACGGATTTTTGTGAAATGTTTTTCTCCATGGACCCAACATCTTTGAACCAAAACAATGCATTTTGTGAGGGTTTGTTTGTTTTTTGTTTTTTCCTTCCTTTTATAGCAAAAGCTTTCAGGCTCTAAGTCAGTTATAGCTGAGTTCTTTCTCCATTCTCCCAGGTGGGTGAGGTCAACTGAGTCTGGGCCCTCATTGCCCAGCTGACCTGCACAGAGCTGCCAACTGACCATACAATAACCCTATGCTCTGTCTGTCCCTGTCTCCTTTGTCTCTGTACCTTTCTGCTTCCCCCTGGCTGTTTTTCTCTGAGTCCAACCATCTGTCTCTACATGGATCCAGTGATCCTGAGATGTGCTAGTAAAGCCTTCTCTGTCACTGCCAAGTATTACAGACTTGTGCCTGGGAGTTACATCTGAGTGAATGCAAATTACAAAGAAGAAGGAATGAAGCAAGAATGGGGAGAGTTTCGGGATGAGGCCAGTCCACCTATGAACAAAGATGTTTCCCTTGTCATTGGAACCACTAGTATTTGCAATTGCTCTTTCTGGGGAAGAGAGGAAATGGTCAGATTTATCACACTGAGATCTTGAAAAAGGAAAAGCCAACTTCTGGGAAGCCATCATCTCTAGTGTACCTGTGAAGAGAGGACAGAAGACTCCAGGACTCACAGCTGCAGCCATCCCTTTGGCACCTGGTGTCTATTCTTCATGTCAGGATCCACCATAAGTCCATCAGGAGCTCTGCAAAAAGGCCCCATGAGCAGTTTCTTCCAGAAAGGACAGCATAATGGACAAGAGTCTTCTGACTTACCTCCAGCCTGAGGCAACTCCCACATAGAGGTGGCAGGTTAATCCTGTGCCTCATGAAAGATGTTTCAAAGCATGAAATCAAATTAGAGATTCTTTCCTGGTCTGAAAGATGCCTTGGGTCTGAAGCATCTTCAGGCCTGATCTCTGAAGATAGCTGCAATGGGGAAGAAGCTGATTGCCTCCATACCAATGAGGGAATGAAGATTATTTCTTGAAAACCTGGACAGCTTTTTTGTTCTAGTTTGCATCCTGGTGGGGCTGGGAACAGCATTTCTAGAATCCTCCTAACCATTTTCATCACTTAAAGCAGAGCAGGTGGGCCTCAGGGTTAGTGACAAGCCCTTTCCTGCCCTCCTCAATCCCCAGCTACCCTACTGCAGCCTCTGTAGCCTGGGCACTGAAATGCACAAGCTTCCCCGGAACTCCTCATCCATTCTGTAGCTTGGAGTTTAACTGTTTAACTGTAGACCAAGAATTTCTCTGCCCACCACAGTCATCTAGATGAGTTTCACCAGCTAGGAACCTAAAAACTCTCTCTGTGGGCTTCCTTCTGACCCCAGTTCAAACGACCCTGTAGGCAGAAGTCAATGGATTTTGAGGTAACCAGGAGGTAAGCAGAAGATCAGAGGAGAGCCTTCTTTCAATCCTCATATCCTTGTGCTTATCCTCACTACCCAATGATAGTCCTTTCTCTGGGTCTGGCCTCAAGAATTTCCCCTTAACATGGGAATGGGGTGGCTCCTGTCTTTGCAGCTTTGGTTTAAGAAAGCAGAAAAGTATTACCATACAACTATGGAGGCATATGTGTGCATACAACACACCACCAACCTAAACATATCTGAAAATAAATAAATCCAACCATGTCATACACACATCTCATCATGAAAGGCAGAGAACCAAGCCAGATTCCCATTTAGAAGGCAGGCAAAGGACTAAGAACTTTCTCTTGAATCCATGGATAATGGAACAAAGTAGGAATTCCTAAGGACATTATACATCCTAAAAACTGAATGGGGTAAAGGATTGAGAAGTAAATAGGCACAAGGTTGCATATACAAATTGCCTGTGTTTCATTTAAGGTCATTACAGTATTAAGAATAATGACTGATTTAACCAAGAATCTACATGTCACTTTTGATACTACACCAAAGGGAGTATGTTAGTGGTCCTTACAAAATTAATTTTAATTGATGTTCCAATTCCCCATGTTTTATTGACCCTAAGGAATTGAATGTTTTATGTTGCTTCATTTTCATTTCCAAAATCCACATCATGACACTTCCTAATGATCATTAGACCATTCCCTTCATTTCCACCTTTCTTTGCAGCATTAGTCAGTGATGGGTGACCCACCTTACCTCTAGTCCAAAGTTGTTAACCCAGGAAAATGGCTCACCTACACAATAGAATATAGCCAGGCTACACTGCTAAAGGGTATTTTAAAATAAACACACCATCAAAATGTACTGAATCAGCTTAATAAGTCTTAACTATTGACTAGCAACTGAAAAACCAGGAAATCAGTTTTCTGAAAACCAACAGCTTTTTGATACAATGATGTTGAGCTTCTTTAGTTTGTGAACCACTGTAGCTTAATAGAAAGTTCCCAAAATCACTTTTCCCACTCATGGTTTTTGAGGTAACCAGGAGGCATTGAGGGCAGGAGGGTTTAAAAAAAAACACTACATTCAAATATGTCAACTGAGTGGAAACAGAAAATACAGTAGAGTATATCAAACCTAGAAGAGACTAGGTCTAATTGAATGAATATCTAATTCATTTTATAGTATAGAAAGATGAGACCCAGAGAAATGGATTTGCTCGAGGCCATGCAGTCAGTTAATGACAGAATTGGGACCAGAAGTGTAGTCCTTTGGCTAATGCTTCCTGCCCCCCACCCCCCAACACACACATTGCCTCCCAGAAGCAATGCTTTGGAGATGACCCATGAAAGACTCCATGCTAGAATTAGAGAGTCTTGTAAATAGAAATACTTCTTGGACACAGCCCTTGGAAATTCTCTGACAGTGCTAATACAAATTGTACTCTAGAAGTTACCATTTCCTGGGTAGAACCATCTATGGACCACCAACTCTGACAGAAACAGATAATAGTCAAGGGTTTTTTTGAGTCAGATGTCTTTTCTCAATGAAGAGAAGGCTAGGATGATACCATTTCAAAGCATACCTTTCCTTATGTTCCTGATAACAATGTCTAAAACCTTGATTCAGAGAGATGAAACAGACTCATCCACGTTCATATGGCAAGTTAGTGGCAGAACCACAATTCAATTCAGGACCTAAACATCTTGACCTGAGATTTTTTTTTCTATTTTATATTTAAAAATATAAGGCTTGCTTATATTTTTAAAACCTGGTTTTCAAGGGTGGTGATTAGGGGAGAAAATATTTCATTCAGAACCACCCTGAGGAATCAGGACTTCTAGAAGCTAACTATTATTTTTCCCTAATCCCCTATTTTCCTAAGTAGTGTCAAGCTCAGGACTAATTGTACAGAACCCTTTTCAAGAGACCAATAGATATTCTCAATGACAGCTGAACACATTAGTCTACAATAACACAGAATTTAAAAAGAAAGTGGTTAATACTCATCCATGATTAACCAAAACCACATGTGGATATGCTGAGGACTTTATCCAGGTTTTTTTCCTGCAGTTCAGGATTATGTCAAGTAGGGAATGTATACATTAAAACATTATATACCTAGATTTTTTTTCGGTCTTTTTAAAATTTTGCACAGTAGTTGTTGAAATTGAGCTAACACTAGAATTGAGGTTATTAATGAATTTCAGGCATTTACCCCCCTCACTTTAATTACCAGGTAACATAAGACAGAAGGATCCCAACACTGTTAATTTAAGACAATATTAGTATCCCTCTATACTAGTCAGCATGGTTACCATGATAACAGAAACCTGAGAAACTTTAATTTTTCCCTTTTTGGTTTCCTAATGAATTCTTGTTATTTGCAAAGCTTTAAAATGATTGGATGAAGAAAAAATACTGTTTTGACCCATGACCCTTGGAGTGTTTCCCAAACGGAATCATGAAGAGCATCATTAGAACTAAAAGAAAGTGGCTATCAGAAAATGAAAGCAGCTTTAAAGGGATTTCTTATAAGTCTTGTTTTCTATTTAGGATGTTCTACGTTTTTTCTCATCAAATGTGGGAATGACATTATCTTAGCAGGTTACTTTACTACACTGGCTGATATCAATCACTCTAACCAGTGTAGGGCACTGACCCAAGTCCTGGGGGTGGGGGTGGGAGGCCCTCGGACCAATGGACTATTTTACAAACCTGGGAGGTGGGAGGGATGGTCTATTTTTGATAATCAGACATTCCAGTATGTTTTCCTTAGAGGTCACATTCTCCCATTGTTATTGTGAAAAACATCAATTGTGATTTTTTTTTCTATTTTCGTATAATAAATGAGCTTTGCTTAAACAACATCACATAGCAAAGAAATATACTGTACAAAACTGCAGGAAGATAAACGTGAAAACTTTCTATGGGAAAATGACTCTTGAGTTTCCTGTCGTCTTCTTTTGAAACTGTAGTGCATATGTTACAACATGTATATCATTTACAGTATTGAGTCGTGTGCCACTGCTATACCTGATGTATCCAAATCTGGATTAAACTATGTGCCACAAACCCTGAGATTGACTATGAATAGTTTTTTTTTAATTTTTTTTAGTTGTAAATGGACACAATACCTTTATTTATTTTCATGTGACGCTGAGGATCGAACCCAGTGCCTTACACATGCTAGGCAAGCACTCTACCACTGAGTCACAACCCCATCCATGAACAGTTTAAGATTAGTTCTCCATTCCTTCCAATGGTACTACCATACACTAGAAAATAATAGTAATATGAACAAAGAGGGCTTTCTACCTTTCTCAAGAAATGACAATCTTAGGGTTGCATAAAGGCCTAGTCTAACCCACCTACTAGCCTCCCTCAATGTAAGTAACTCTATAAGAACTTCCTGATGGTTCTTGCCTGCCCCTATGCTATAGCAATGGATGTTCACTAATAAACATTTAAAAGGTAAATCACTTAACTACATTTGTCAATAGCTCTTTTGAGGCCCAGCCCTTTATCATTGAAAGAGAACCTGCCATTATGTGTAGTTCTGGTTCTACTAAGAATATATATATATATATATCTGCTCCTCCATCTAAATCAAAGTCTCAAGCAATAAAAATCCAAAGTGTTTGTTATATGGGGTTGAGTAGAAAGCTTAGTAACCAGAGGCTTATTTAGGTTCTATCACATATGACTTCTTATCAGTCACTTTCTCTTTGCTTCATTTCTTTGCTCATCTTAACCTTGAAGATCTGCTTTAAAATTTTTAAAATTATGTAAGTGGTACGTACAGCCATTTTCATGTTTCAGTGTGGCATCAAAAATATGAATCCTTTTAATTTCCCTACAACTACTAATCAATGAAAACAGAAATAGAAATGGAATATTAAGGCAGATGCTTGATGGCCTAAGGTCCTAGAAGTTGGCTGTTAAATTCATTTTAATCACTAATGCTTACATCCCCATCACCCACTAGGTGTCACTACAGCTCAAATAATCTGATAGAAAGAAAACCAGATGTGAATCCCTGTTTTCATTAAAAAGCACTAAATGTCAAGTAGGACAGATGTGCTTATTCACAGAGGTACAAATTAATAAACATGTTCTGGGCTGGGGATGTGGCTCAAGCGGTAGCGCGCTCGCCTGGCATGTGTGCGGCCCGGGTTCCATCCTCAGCACCACATACCAACAAAGATGTTGTGTCCGCCGAGAACTAAAAAACAAATATTAAAAATTCTCTCTCTCTCTCTCTCCTCTCTCTCTCTCTCTAAAAAAAAAATAAAATAAACATGTTCTACAAAAATAAGAGGATAACCTTGCAAGAGTTCCAATGTCAGCTATAACTATCAAAAATAAATTTATATTTATAAAATATTTACTTTTAAATATTAACCCAATTTCAGTTTAAGGAGAGAAAGCCCCAAAATTTCAAACTATTCCCTTATTGTACAAACTATTCCCTTATTTGCACCATGTACAGCCAGAGGAATGAGAAGTTGTGCTCCATTTGTGTACAATATGTCAAAATGCATTCTACTGCCATGTATAACTAATTAGAACAAATTTTAAAATTTAAAAAAACTACTCCCTTATAAAGCTTCATCAATAAATACTAGAATTTACATGTAAAGTTATTTTTAATATTCTGGGGCTGAAGTCTACCTTTAAATCACATATCATTAAAGCTTAGTAAATTTAGGAAATATTACTTTTAATTAAAGAGTAAACCATATTCTAAGTGAGAAATATCCAAAGAAGCAGATTTCCCAAAGATTTCTCTACATGTTAATACTGAAATCCTAATTCAAGTTAAAGCATATGGATTGAAAACTATTTGAAAATTTAGACATTTAACCAATATGCATCAGAGTTCACCCACACTACTTGAATTTATAAAGGTCCTCTATATTCATAAATTTCATTATGGTTTTCTATGATTAGAAAATATTTTTGCTTCATGAGTCATTTAACAATTAAATTTTTAATCAAATATTATATCTAATGGAATCTGGAGTAATGCTATTATACCCATATTGATTACATACTAAAAACTATATGGTGTGAATGAAGATTTTATTATTTTTATACTAGTGTATAGGAATAGGAAGCCAACTAAATGTATAAATGGATAGAGAAAGCAAGTCCTTGTACCACCAATTCTGCATAATTATTTGCCAGATCACTATTAAGTCAAGGTGGTAATAAGGCAAATATTTGTAGTGATTTTTCTCTTTCCTTCTTTTAAATTTTTTAAATCTTTTTTTAAAAAAATTTTTTATAGTTGCAGATTGACAGAATGCCTTTGTTTATTTTTATGTGGTGTTGAGGATCAAACCCCAATGCCTCACACATGCTAGGCAAGTACTCTGCCACTGAGCTACATCCCCAGTTCTATGACAATTAAATCTTTTTTTTTTAATATTTATTTTTTAGGTGTAGATGGACACAATACAATGCCTTTATTTTTATGTGGTGCTGAGAATCGAACCCAGGTCCAGCCTGTGCTAGGCCAGCACTCTACTGCTGAGCCACAATCCCAGCCCAACAATTAAATCTTAAAACTAAAAGGAACCCTAAAAATCTTCCACTCCCCAGTGCTAACAATCAAACCCAGGGCCTCATACTTGCTAGGCAAGCATTCTGTCACTGTGTATATCTCCAGTCCCCACCCCAATTTTCTCACTCTATTGATGAGAAAACTGGACCTTCAGAGGCTAAATGACTGTTACAAGGTTAGAAAGTAGAAGACTCTCCACCAGGGCAAGTACTTTCTCAAGTGAACTTACCTTAAACCTAACAATGGTTCATAACAGATTATGTGAACATGCACCTAGACTAACAAATCCAAACAAAAAGCCTTTGCCACAAAAGACAAATCAGACACCTTCCACATCCACTACTTTAACTACCTTTTATTTGGGAAAGTAATGATTAAATTTCCCTAGTAAATGCTTATGAAAATTCTAGCAATTAGTATTTTCATAAAGTATGGATATGCTCACCTCTAGTTTTTTTTTTAAGAGAGTGAGAGAGAGGGAGAGAGAGAATATTTTTAATATTTATTTTTTTAGTATTTGTTTGTATGTGGTGCTGAGGATCGAACCCGGGCTGCACGCATGCCAGGCAAGCGCGCTACCGCTTGAGCCACATTCCCAGCCCCTCTAGCTTATTTTCTATGGAAAAAAAATAATAAACACAAAATAAAACAAACCTAGAGAGAATCAAACTAATTTCAAGACTAATGGGTAACTTCATTAAGCTGTAGCATATCCTAAATTAATCTCCTAGCAATGATAACTGTGAACTTGGTTATATTTTGGGAAAAGGGGTAGGAAAGGGTAGCAATGACAGGATCATATTTAAATGTGTAATTAAGATCTCTCCTTAATAACATGGTGGACCTAATTATGGACTTGCTATCTACAATATTAATTCATTCTAACTTGACAACACATGCACAGTGCTGAAACATTGAAGGCCTATCATTGATCAACTCAAAAAGAATCCAAGTTAACCAGTTTAAGATTGTGTTCAGTGGATGTTAGACAGTAAATGGTGATGACTGTGGGTGTTTGCTAACAGCCCTAGAAAAAAGTATTTTTTTTTTTAAAGAGAGAGAGAGAGAGAGAGAATTTTAATATTTATTTTTTAGTTCTTGGCGGACACAACATCTTTGTTTGTATGTGGTGCAGAGGATCGAACCCAGGCCGCACTCATGCCAGGCAAGCGCGCTACCGCTTGAGCCACATCCCCAGCCCGAAAAAAGTACTTATATTGCCTGGACAATATAAGAGTATAAGGAAAAGAGGCTGCCTTTTAAAAATATCTTCTCAAAGATATAAAACATAAGGGTTCTCTCACACAAAATCCAGTTTACAGAAAGGTCTGGCAACCAAAAGCTTAATGATAAAAGGACTACCAGAGGGGGGAAAAAAAAAAAAAGAAAGAACATGTAACTTCCCATTACATTTTTCTAAATCATAATTTATAGATACACCATCCAGAAAAATGGCAGCTCCCCTTGGATCCTGGCATTAAAGGTAAAAACTGAGGGAATTTTTCTATAAGAGACAAGATGAAGACACACTAAGAAGAGGCTAAAAAGGGAATAACTCTGCTTTCACAAAATACTCAGCACTAACAACTTCCCCTTACCTACTAGCAGAGCAAGTCAGTTCTTAACCTGGGTTCCACAAATGTTCTTCAGGGGATCTATGAACCCTCCAAAATTAACATTCAGAATTCTGCTTCTAGAATGAGAAACAGTGGCCCACCTATAGCTTCTATCAAAATAAAAAATAATCAAATATACTAATCCAAAAATAATCCAACACATATTAAAACTGTTCCTCTACCTGAGCAACATAAATAAGAGAGATGGCCACTCTTACAACATAAATAAGATGTAAACACACAGTAAAAATGTGGATAGCTTTCACAATCTCAAGAACAAAAAGACTTAAAAAGATAACATGTCAACATGTTAAGCTAAATGTTTTTATTAGTAATAAAATTTTTATTGGAAGTAAATAACACCAAATCAAGTACTTTTGGGAAAACCTAAAGCTATCTTTAAATATTCCTCCCTGCCTCAACCTAAAAGATCTATCTACCATGCTACAAATTTCTACAAGAATGCAGCTCAAGTCTTGTGTAAAGAACTCCACAGACAGATTAACACTACTTTTTCAAATCTTTACTCTTTTTATTTTTTTAAGGAAGCAGTGGTATATATGTCATCTTTTTAAATGTTTCTTTTGGGAATAGCTTACAGAAAATGGCATGTTGGGACTTTTAGCTCTATGCCCCCAAAATTCTCTTTTGAGAATATAAAGAAGTTTTGTTTTAAAAAAAAAAAAAAAAAAAGATGGCATACACCTGGACTTTGTCAAAATAATGCGAAAAATAGATGGGTCCAGTGGAAAGTCTTAAGTCTTTTCAATTTCCTCAAAAATGCCACTACATTCTAGGTCAAGGAGGACAGATATCTATCAATAGTTTGATGGACGCAGATACATCCTATAATCACTGATTACCACGCATCATTTCTTGTAGATAAACTGTGTTCA